TTTTCCCCTTCTTGCAGCTCTTACATCTTTTTTGCCCTCCATCGCCGCCGATCCAAGCTCGATCGCCATTGCCAAATCTGCGGTCCATCTTCGTTGCATGTAATACATACGAGCAGACAGAAAACGACGCGACGACGACGACGACGACGGGATTGAACGCTTCAACGACGGAATGGGACGAGGGGCAAAAGCGTAAAGCGAGACGGAGGAGGAGGGCATCATGGAGAAGAAGACGAGGAGGGGAGACAGACTAACGGGAGAGGATGGCTGTCAACGATGAGTAGCAAGAGAACAGGATAGAAAGAGGGACCTAAACGACAGAGCGTCACGAGGGACAGGATGGATTGTTCATATTACTGTCCTTTTATTTTTCGTTGAACCTACCTGGTATCTTATTCGTTGGTCTGCAAGTTTTTTAGATAAATTCGGGTGTCATTTCCGTGTAAATCATTTGTAGATGTCTTTTTCTTTTTTTTTTTTCTTTTTTTTTTTCATTTGTAGATATCTTTATCATCATCAGCTTTCAACAGATTTTGGTTTCCGAAAGAAACATCGAGACGTCGTGGCCCCTGAATCTGCAATTCGTTCTTCATTGTATTTTTACCTTGGGGCCTTGGGCACTGGGCCCTTCATAAAAAGGAACTCCATCGACTTGGTCGGTCTCTTCATCCTCTCAGTCATTGGCCAAAGCGTGGCTGTACTTCCGTAGCCTCCTTCTTTCTTTTTTTTCTTTTTTTGTTTTCGACATGATCGATATTGTTTCTTCATTTTTATTTATTTATTTGTTTATTTTGGTTGTCGACATGCTCGATTTGGTTTCTTCAAAACAAAGAGAAAGAAACATCAAATCTGACTCCTTGGTCGGTCTCTTTATCGTCTCACTCATTGACCTACGCGTCGCTGTCTTTCCTTGGCCTCTTTCTTTTTTTTTTTTTTTTTTTCCCCGAGATGCTCGATTTGGCTTCTTCCGATTCTGAGAAAAGGATGTTAAAAAAAAAAGTCAACTTTAAAAAATCCGGTGAAAGCGTCAAACCTCACCCACCAGTGTGTGTTTGTGTGTGTTTGTGTGTGTTTGTGTTTGTGTGTGTGTGTGTGTGTGTGTGTGAATGTGTGTGTGTGTGTGTCTGAATGAGTGTGTGTGTGTGTGTCTGAATGTGTGTGTGTGTGTCTGTGCGTGTGTTAAAAATGACTTCATTCGCACTTGCTTGCTGATCCACACGTGACCCTATCGAGTTTTTTTCATTTCTTTTTGGCTTCTTCCAATTCTCGGATTTTGTTTTTTTCTCTCTTAAAAAAAAAAAAAAAAAAAAGGTTTCTTCCAATTCCGAGAACTACTGTTCCCTTTTTTTTTTTTGTGTGTTTGTGTAAAAAAAGAATGCAGTAATTGCAGAAACTACTAGCTCGTTTTCCAAGTTTCCCCGCGGAAACGTTGTCGGCGTCCGAAGACGCGAAGATGTATTTTTGCAGCGCAAGTGGGACGCGGCCCGCAAATATTTTTTGCTATTAAAATAGTACCGGGACCTCTAAATAAAGCTGCAAAAAA